ATAGATCTCAGGGACTCTCCCAGGCAGTACAGTCAAGTGGGAGAGGCAACTTTGGCACTGGGAACTACCCAGGTTCAATTCTACTCATGTCTGAGGCCAGCCTGGGTATACAGAGATCCTGCCTAAAAAAAACAGCAGTGCCACACACTGCCCTTGCAGAAGACCATTCATTCCCAGTTCCGAGCACCTACACAGGCAGGATCACAAACACCTGTAACTACAGTGCCAGGGAATCCACCTCATTCATCTGACCTCCTTCTGCATCTGCGCTACTTATGTACACATCTGCTCCCACAACATAAACCCTCAACAGAAACATAACTGAATATAAATCTGCTTTTATGCCTATTAATTATGATAACTTTTTTTCTTGATGCCTCCTTAAATTTCTAGACAGATTCTGCACTTTTCTTGCCACAGTACAGGCCATTTACAGAAACTAGACAAAGGGCTAGACAAGAAATGGTTAGTTAGTAAGAAATCAGCCCTGTAAGCTAATCTTGCACTTTAAACTCCAGGCTTTAAATACAGCTTTATCTCATTGAACTTATACTTGTAAAGGACAAGCCTGGCTCATGAAAATGAAGTTAGGGGCCACTCCAATCTTGATGACAGCTACTCTCTTTGTACTACAAGGAGATTAAAACCTGGTAGAGCTTAAATCTAAGTGCTGCCCTCTGGCTAGTCATTCCTGGGTGTATGACTCAGGGGAGGGGGAAGGCAGGGGATCTCTCAAGACTTTAGGGTGTGAGCAGCTCAGTAGATCAGATGTCTGACATGTATGGAGTCTTGGGTTCCCTCCTAAAAAGAATCTTGGGGCCAGTGAGACAGTTTTAAGCAGGTAAAGGTACCTGCCACACATGCCCATACACACATACACACACACACACACACACACACACACACACACACACCCCTACACACATGCCCACAAAATAAATGTGATGTTTAAAAACTCTCAAAGCAACAAACTGCAGACAAACAACACATGCAGCTTTAAAACAAAAAAACAGAGCCTGGTGGCATACATCTGCAATCCCAGTACTTGGGAAGCAGAAGCAGAAGGATCAAGAGTCAAAGCCATCCTCTACAACAGAATGAAAGCAGTGGTAAATCTTACAGGAAAATACGAAATGCCTCCCACCTAAGGAATGACTCCCTACCAGTTCCACCTAAATAATCCACAGGCATGCACACAAAGAATAATTTGTTTTCTAAGAAAAATTAAAAGCACACATCAGAATTGTGAATGGTAGTTTCACTCCAAAATTCATTCAATGTGAGACACTGTGCTTGTGCTGAAATACCACGTGACTTCGCCCCAAATCAGACCTGAAAAAAATGGTTGCCTTTCCTTGCAATGTCAGACTGAAGTCCCAGAGCTCATCCTGCCCACTCTAACAGAAAGCAGTTACAGACCGTGACTGCTTGGCTGCCAGTCTCCAACAAGAATCCTGCCACGTTTCTTTTGTTCTTGAACACAATTCAGGATGAGAACAGTATTGCTCAATGGGATACAACTTACTTCCCATGGCTAGATCCCCACAGATCTCAAATCACAGAAAACCAGTGCTGCTGACTTCCCTAACTTGTAGAACATTCATCTAGCCACCTGCTCTTAATTATAAGCTGTAACGTTAATCAACACACACAGAAATAGTGAACTGGAAAGACACACAGCAGAAGAGATGTACATCAGGACACAGGTCCAAAAGTGATTCTGCAACTGACTACATGTTTCCCAAAGCGACCTGGAGGACACAAGAAGCAGCTCTGGTAACTCTGGAACAAGCAACCCTGGCTAAAGCTTCCATGATGCTGAGCCCTGATCTCCAGGTACTGAGCATGTGTCAAGGTACAGCAAGGCAGCTACCCAGCTACTTCTCAACATGGAGGGCACAGGAGTCAGACTGCCATTGAAAACAGTACAATCTAAGGTAAGGAACACCACCACTTATAGCCACACACACCGTTTCTTTGAGAGGTGTTCTCATTATGCAACCCAGGTTGACCTCAGACTCAAAATCCCCATCTTACTGCCAGGCTGACATTACAGGTATTTGTCACAGCACCAGGCTCCTAGCCTTCGCTCTATCACCATGCAGAAAAGGTAATTACTGGCATATCTTGTTTCCCAAAATATTAAGGGACACAGAACACAACAACAAATTATAGCTCATACACTGGGGATCAGCTCCTGAATGAAGACTCACACCAACTTGTTATTTCCAACGTAATTTTCAACACTTTGGTGTTCTCAGAATTGCCTTGCTTTCTCACAAACAGGTCCCACCTCTCCGCTCATCAGAAATAGAATTTACCACCTACATGGACCAAGATAGACATCAGCAGCCTATTAAAAAGCACTAAAGAAAAAAAAATTGTCTCGGTAAGCTGCTTTTTCTGTAACCAGCCACAGAACAGAGGGGAGAAAGTCATGGAAGACTTTATCAGGAAGTGTTGACACAACATAAACATGAGCTGTGGGCAGCACACCAAGGAAGGAAACCACAATTATACCACTCTTGATTTGGATGCACTTCCACTTTAAAACTTCCAGACAGAAAAGCCAGTGCTGAGATCCTGACAAAGCTGCTGAAAGCTAGGAAGGCAAAGCAGGAGCCACACTAGAGACAAATCTTAACGGCATTAAAGTGCTCTCCATGCAAAATTCCCCCACTGCCACCCTTTTTTCATTGCTACCCTCTTTTCAGTAACAAAGATGTTGTCAGAAATGACAATTTTTTGTGTCCCCTGATGATGCCTTGCTAGCATTTGGTTATAAGCCATAAAGCAGGAATAATTTCAGCCTGTCAGGAGTCTCGCTAATGCCCAGTTTCCCCCTAGAGAGAATTCCTGTCAAATCTAATGAGAGCTCCAAAGGCCCTCTCTACAATATAATGAGCACTTAGGCCATGCTGGTGATCAGGCGGCAAAAAGCATCAATTTGAGCCTGGCTACACCCTGGGGGCCAGACGTCACTAGTTTTAATAAGAATTATGATCACCAACAGCACCAAATGACTCCTCAAAACTTACTATTAACGTGTGACACTCAGAAGGATGTTTTTCAAATGTAAGACCACTTTAAACTGAATTACAGCACGACTTTGCACACCACTCTAGTGAAGGGTCTGTCAGCATTCACAATATCAACTAAATTTCAGGGGGCTTAATACTCTACTATGAAGAACACAGTGTCTCTTAGCTTCCCACTTGTTTCAAATTACTGGTCGAATTATACACAGTGTATTATTAATGCAGACTGTCATCCAAAGAGATAGTATATACCCACAAATGTCCAAGACAGAACAGTACAGAACCCAAGAGAAAACTTGGTTCACACCAGGGGCGTCTGACCCTCCTGGCCCCTTACTCCTTTCTCTCTACACAGTAAACAAAAGGTCACCAGAACTCAGAATTAACACACCTCTTTCTGCTTCCCCACTAACACCAGCACATCACAGGACTTAGAGGTACTTGTTCCCTAGTACAAGAGTAAGTGGGTCATTAAATCCTTCCAGTTTATGTGTTTAAGAAAAAGCTCAGTGCCCAGAGTATTTAACAGAAAAGAAAAAAAGTGCCCCACAGAGTAACCTAAAAGATGCAAATTAGAATTCTTACACCAAGTTTATTTACATACTTAATTTAAATGGCCATAGACCAAAGATATTCCAGCTCACTATCATTGACTAAAAAACCTCAACAAAGCACACTAGCCACAGAAACACAGAAAAACAGCACCACATAAAGAACTCTGCAAATCAGTCAAACAAACATTTTGTGAAAGGCTCATTACATTACTGAAAGGCTCTGACTTAGCGTTATGAAAACATGTATCTAGAACAGATCTAATGTACATAATTATGAAATCTATGATGAATTAAAAATCAAAGAATGCAGAGCTACAAAAGCAGAATTCAACTCTGAAATGGATTTGCTTAATGAAAATCTTTGAATATAAGGAAGATCTGAAGGCTGAACTAATCAATTTCTCCACCATGCCCCAGCCGGTCAGCCATGCTCTTTAATTTAATGAAACAAGGGTCTGAGATGAAATAGCACATATACATCAAGTAAGAATTGTATTGTTGCACTTTGAAACATGTCCAACTGTGCAACTTCATCTGATGATAATTTTTTAAGAGGCAATCGATTTCTAAAAGACTTATTGTACCAGCATTTTGATAAAGTGAATGTCAGCATATCTCCAGAACACTTGCACCCTGCCATTAATGCTTTCTTTGGCAGACAATGACTACTCAATTGAGGGTCCTTTGGGCTGAGCAATCATTTAGCTTTTCTTCTCTTATGAGGTCCTTAGTGTCTTGTTCCAGCTCAATACTCTTTTTATACCCCATTATAGTAGCCATAAGTGTGAATTTTATGGGAACTTGCAAACTCAAGTCACTGCTAAAGCTTTCCAGTCACTAATCTTTCCATGCTTTTAAAACCACTAGAACTGAAGCACCTTCCAACACGTTTGTTGGTCGTAAAAAGACAGTTTTTTCACCTCCAAATCTGCATCAACGGAGAAAATTTTCAAAAACATGTTTGCTAATAAGCCACTAATCCTGAGTGTCACTTTACGGAACACCAAAGCGTAAGAGCACTCCAAAAGTCATATGCTTTATTAAATCTGATGAGAGAAACTCCCAAGTACCCCTCACTTTCCACATTTTATACTCAAACATATAAAAATACTAACTATCCTAAACTCCAGTAACCACAATATATCTGAGATCTTTAAAGGATAAATCTACCCATGTGGAAAAGTAAATTGAGCTCAGTTCCTGTCTGCCTGTAAACATCTCCAAAGCACCTCAGCTAGTCTTGTAACCATGAAGAAGCAATCCTTGCTGCAGAGTGTTGACACAAACTTGAAGAAGGGCAGAAAAATAGCCCACAAACACCCACCCCTAACATGCAGTGGCTGAGGACAAAACCAGCAAGGTAAAATCCTATAAACTGCTTTCTCAGCTTAACATTTATGAAACTTACCTGTTTATGCATTTCAATGTTTAATCCATATGACATTTCATAATACTGTAAAGAGAAGAACCAAGCATGTCGTTAGCTCACATTTTTGTAGTAAGAACACACACCATTACGTGAAAAGAAAGCCGTCCTATCTTTGATACCTACCATCACGTAGTGCCTCTGCATTTCTGTCTTTTCACTTGCCAATTTCTCACACTCCAACTTAAGACTACGAAAACAAAACAGGCAGCTTAAGGTAAACATTATGTCACTTGTTTTAACATCTGCCTCACATATTTGCACTTTAAGCAAAAACAATTTGGAAAAGTCGTAAGCTAGGAAAACATCCTAAAAGCTGTCTTTGTATTCAATGCTGGAAAAGAAGGTGAACAAGGGGAATATCCACCCGCTACTGTTCTTTTTGTTCCTGGGGCATAGATCATGTTGAGAGGGCAAGAACGAAAAAGCTATCAAAACAGACTCCTCAGCTGTCCCCATCCGACTTCTCTTGACTGCACCAAAGTCTGTCCTTCGCACAACCTCTACTCTCCAGCACAGGCAGTCTTCAGGTTTGAAAAACTTCACTGGGAAAGTTACTCCTATAATGACTAGTGCCTTTCAAAATCTTTTGGTTTTTGAATCCCTGCCAAAATATGACAAGCAGCTACAGCAACGAAGTGGGCTGAAGTTCTGCCCCTGTTCAGTAAACAGTGTGTGCAAGTATGCCTCAAGTTCTAGAGATTTCATCTGAAAGTAGATAAAAGGTCAAAAATCAAAAAGCCACTGACAAAATAGGAAAATTCACACCCAAGCCACCAAGCCTCAGGTTTGTCCTTTTTCTCAAGCATGACAAAAGCAAAAATCTCCTTCTAAGTTATGGCTTAGCGCCAATGAGTCAAAACCCAACAGGAGCAAAGTAAGTAACCTTTCTGGAATATTCACTATAGATGGGGGCTTTAGCAAGAATTTTCACTAACAAATCCGTTGAAGAAGATATTATTACATAAAGAACCCATAACCGAGGTCAATGTGAATGTGATTCTATTCCCTCGGCCTATCCAAACACCCCAGTGTGGGCCACCACATTATCTACATTCTACCGCCTAATCACCCATGATGGGCACAGCTAAACGCATCTAGTCTTCCCTAATGGACTTTGTCTCAGACAACCCAATTTTCTAGTATGGCAAACAGTGATTTCAACATGGCTTTGCTTTCCTGAACGCACACTCCAGGGCTGAGCCATTGATTGAACCCATGTTTTAGTTCAGCCTGTTGCAAAACAAATAAATGAAGTGCAAATATTGACGGTTCTCATGCAACTCCAAAATACACGAAAAGGGACTCCCTGGAACAGCCGCAAATGCGCAAAGGGGAAACAATGGGAGGAGGAGGAGACAACAGAAGGGGCGGCCCAGGAAGAGCCAAGAAAGGGGGGTAACATGAATGACAGGGCTTAACTGTGACTCCACACGCCACCGCCTGGACACAAGCACTAAGTACACAGCCCTAGCAGCCTGGTCGGGTGAGAAAGGACCCCCCCCTCCCCACCAGGTGACCACCACCCCCAGCAGGTCGACACGCACCTGTGATACTGCGCCTGCAGGAACTGGAATTCCTCTTTAATCCGGTCCAGGGACTCCGGGATAGTGAACTTAAAGGGCTGGCCTGCAGCCTGGTGCGGCGTCTGCAGGTGACCAGCAAGGGGGACCAAGGAAGGAGATATGAGGGTAAGGGCGTAAAACAGAGAAAAGTCAAGAGGAGGGAGAAGCGGATGGGACATAAACAAAAAAATAAAGTTAGAAGTGGTGGAAAACGGAGCCCCCAACTCGAGCCCTCGGTTCACTTTAGAGAGGGAGAAAACAGACCTTCCCGGGGCCCTAATTTCTCAAGAGGCTCAGAAGCCAAGTCTACCTCCAAGCGTGGACCGTGCGTGCCCGACGCCCTGGGGTCACCCGGCCCGGAGAGGCTGAGAAGGCCCAGGCCAGAGCTTCACCGTTCAGGGCCACCCCTCCCCAAACCGTGCGATAAAGACCCCGGGGACCGGAGAAGAAATGCCAACTCCCTTTCAGCCCCCAGTCCTGGAGTGACCGGGCCGCACTGACTACATGTAAACAGGCGAAACGAGGGGCAAAGGCGGGATCACTCCGGCCTCTCGGGATAGGCGGGAGGCGACTGCGAGACCCCGGTCTGCGCGTCTAGACATCCAGTAGGAGGGGGCGGGGCAGGGGGAAGCGGGGCTTCGTGGGCTCCGGAGCGGGACAGGGTCCCACCCGCGCCGGCGACTCACTGGGTGCCGGCTCTGCGGGAACATCGCTCTGGCGGCAGCCGAGGCTCTGTTCCGGGACAGCTCTATCCTCCGCGCCACTTCCAACTTGAATCCCGCAGGGAACCGCGGAGCAGCGCAGCAGGCCGGCGCGCGGGGCGCTCAGGATACAAGGCCAGGGCGCGACGGGTGCGGCCCCCGCCCTCAGGACCACATCGCGGGCGCCTCGGCCCCGCTCCTGCGAGTCTGCGCAGCGGGGGCGCCGGGTCCTACGGCGGTCCTCCACCCGGTGCCCCCCGGCCGCGCTCCCTTTGGCGGCTCACGAATGCAGGCGGGCTGTGAGTCTCCTCCTCCCTGCGGCGGCGGCCGCGCAGGTGGCGCCTTGGCTAGAACCCACGTAGACAGCCAGCGGCAAACGCCGCGTCTCAGGTCGGGAGGTCACCCGCTCCCACGACGGTGAGCTCCGGGTCACCGGAGGCTCGGCAAGCGGCGTTGCGGAGTCTCCGGGTCGGCGCGGAGCTGCGGGGACGAAGCGGGGGCTGCGCAGGGTCGCGCCAGGACGCGCCCTCCCTCCGGTCCGCGGCTAGTGCTCGCGGTGCAGCCCCTCGGCGGCCCGCCGCTCCTCCAGCCCGGGCATCAGGCCGCCGGGCGCGCTCCGCGGCTCCAGCGCTCCCTGCGCCTGCCTTCCCCTCCCCGACTCTTGGCGAAGGGCAGACCAGCTCCAGCCGCCGCAAAGTTCTCTCACAACCCGGGAGGCAAACGTCCACGCGACGAAGAGCGCGCTGCCGCTCGGCCTCCCTCTGCTGCCGGCCACGTCGAAGGCGAGTCCCGGCTCCTGCCCCGGGACGCGGGGTCCCCGCCGATGCTCCTGCCGCCGCCCGCGCCTCTCGCGCCGCTTACATTAACACGCGGTTTCACACTCGCTAGCAAACCAGAGCCCCGCCCGAGCCGAGCGGCGGGGGCTGCAAGCGCCAGAGCCGCCGCGGACGTGGGCGGAGCCGCGGCCGCTCAGCCAACCGCGTGCGCCGCGCCAACGTGGGGCGCTGACGCGGGCCGGCCACAGCCAGTGTTGGCCTTCGCTCCGCCCACCTCGCGCGGCCTTTGCTGGCCCGGCTCTCCGCCCACCAGCCTGCGCCCCTCCTCCGCCAGCGCGTCCTGTGCGCTCCGAGAGCCGCGGTGCCCGAGGAGCTGCGGGACGCGTAGACCAGCCAATGGGGAGCGGTCAGACGCTGAGATTGGCAAGCCGCCTCCGAAGGTCGGTGGGAAGGAGAGCGGCGAGCCGGGCTGTCAATCAAAGTAACGTGGGGCAAGTTGGGGAGCGCGCGAGTGCGCGCAAGCTCGAGCGGCCTGCGCGCCGGGGGCGAGAAGAGCGGGGGGCTGAAGTTTGCAGAAGCCTGCTGCTCGCTCCTCTTTTCCTTGAAGGAAATCTCAGTGAAAGTACCTGAGACTCACCGCGGGGTTTCTTGTTGGGGGAGGGTATGCATCTTGGTAACAAGAACAGAATGCATTTTCCTGTATTGGTTCCCTTGGTTCGGTGTTACTCTGAAGGTGAGGTTCCATTCACAACTTTGTCGGAAGATTATTTTTCCACGAGGTGCCTTTCCACGGACGCACGAGAAGTGAACTGTGCCTTTGATGGGAAGTGCGTGAGCATCGCAGCTGCTGGCATGCTCACACCATCGCGGGAAGACTGGACCACTCGCTGCACAGGCTTGGAAAGATTTCGCACTACTTCGTGAAAGGTCTACCTGGCTCGGTTTGGCGGGGAAGATCCCTAAAGGGGCCAGCAGTATTAGACACCCGTGTCCCACGCGCAGAAGAGATGCTTTTGCGCCCCGCGAGAAATCCGGGTTCTGATCTTGAAATGATTTCACTGTTTGGATAGAAGGGAAGTGGCCGAGAGTTTTAGGAGACTGCCCAGAGAGCACTAGTCAGTTTCAAATTTCTGGGAAATGAAAGACAATGGAATAAACGAGCGTTGAGACCTGAAACCTGCCCTTCCCCCTCCCCGATTGCTTTGGTTGTACTCCTGGCAGAGGCGTGTGAACCACTGAGAGTTGGTAAATGAAGGGTCTTGTTTAATGAGGATTGACATAAGAGGAATTTCCAAGTTTTAAATAAAGGAGACATGCTATGGAACTAATGCTGAGAGTCTCCGGTTTTTGTCTGGTTCTCCAGCAGAAAACCTGCAGTATGGCCACACGTGTGCTTTCCTTAAAGAGCAGTTCGTGGAGCTCTTTTTTTTTTTTTTCTTTATGTGAGCCACGAGTGAATGATGCTGTTTTAGCCTCCTGGTGGTAATTTCTCTGGTAAGAAAGGCACCAAGGTACCGCTTGGGCAAACATTTATCTTTTGTTGAAGCCTAGTTAACAAATTTGGGACAGTAATACCTCCATCCCCATTATTTTACTTTATAGAGACATACCGGAAGGAGCTTACTTAAATAGATGTGAATTTGCTTTTAACAGATTTTTTTCTCGGAAATACAGAAAAAACAGGTAATACATTACAGTATGTGTAATGTTCATTTTAAACACGTGTGCTACTGATATGTCTGTAAGTGCATTAATTCTAATATCAGTTATAAATGAAAAGCAAAAGAACAGTATCAGCCAATCTCAGACCACAGTAAACGCTTAAACTGATTCAGTGTCGTTTGAGGTCGTTCTTTTCTCGTAGAATTGGAAACAGGTTTATTTTATGCATTTTCATAGCATGCAGAATGAAAAGGAAGAAAGACAGGCCTCTCTTTCCTTGGTTAGATTTGGTGATGTATGAGTTGACCAAACGGGATTTTTTGAACTCCTCTGATCCTGGATAACTAACATGTTCCTTGAAATCATCCTTCAGTGACTTGATCACAATCCCCAGTCAGTGGCTTGACTGTGTGATCAGCTCCCAAGCTGGGTAGGAAGTGCTTGGGATGCCACAAGTCTATGCTTGTGCCCTACTATGAAATTTTCTCCCTGAGGTCCCATCCCCAAGCTTTACCTATCAGGTGTCCCTTCCCTTACTGGAACACACTCATAATTAAGTTTTAAAATACTTAATTTTAAGATCAGAAGCAAAAGTTGTTGTGCCCACTTTCCAAATCAATTCTAACTCATTGCTTACACTCTCCACTCTTAACTGTTCAAGAAAGTGTGGCCACTCACTAGAGTTTCCAGTTTGTTGTGAGTAAAAACTAGAATTTCTCTCTTAACTAATGCTTTCTTCATACTAGCCTTTGAAACCTTCTGATTTCTTTTAAATGAAGTATGGGATTGGGGGTGCATAATGATTTTTAAAATTGGGAGCCCTTTGATTGCACAAAAAAGACAGGGTTTTGAATGTGTCTTTCCATTCAGGTCATCTTTCTTGAGATTAGAAGAAGGCTGTGTCCTTTTTCATTTTCAAGGTCATATTTACTCTGTGATTGGCATGCTGTAATAATTATACTACAAAACTCTCATCAAACTGCATTACAGATGATGATGTTTAAGACAATCAAGTTGCTTTAATCGTATGTTTGAAATGAATAATATATGTGCAATTACCTGTAGCTTATTTAAAAGAACATGGTCTTGCTCATTAAATCTATACTTTTGATATTTCACGTTTTTGTGTATGCTTGTTTTTTGAGACAAGGTCTCATTCTGTAGCCCAGCAAACTTAGAACTCACTGTGTAGACCAAGCTTGAATGTGTAGCTCTCCTCTTCCCACTGCCTCCCAAGTGCTGGGATTGGCTTCAGACATGTACTGCCATGTCTGGCTTTCATTTGAAATCTGTTAACAATGTTAACTATACCAGCTCTGGAGGAAATTGTGTTGGGGGGGGGGGGGGAATAATACCCATTTTATCCTCTGTGAGGGAGAAGCTTGTTAGTGGGTTCACTTTTTCTTGGTGCATATATAGATGTGTATTCATTCATTTCTTGCTAATTAGTTTCTCAACTCAACATAAATAATGGTTTGAAATAAATGATTGTGGCCATTTTGTCTTCTTTTGTTTTTGAGACAGGGTTTCATGTAGTCTAAGCTGGCCTCAAACTTGCCATGTGGCAAAGGATGACCTTGAACTTCTGATTCTCTTGCTTCTAGGATTATGAGAATGCCACCACACAGGGTTTGTTGCAGGCAAGGCAAGTATTCTTCCAGCTTAGCTACATCCCCAGCCTTTGTTTTGTTTTGAGCTATCTATCTATCTATCTATTTATTTATTTATTTATTTATTTATTTATTTATTTATTTTAGATGGAGGTCTTGCTTGTAAACTTGCCTAGCCTGGAACTGGCTATGTAAATGCAACTGGCCTTTAAATTTCTAACAGTCCTCCTGCCTCTGCCTCCAAAATAATGGGATTATAGGCATCAGTCAACATGCTTAGGCTGGGTTGGATTGGTTTGGTTTGAAGTGAATGTTTTCTTAAACCTAGGAATAGAGTCCAGAAGGAATTTTCTCAGCAGTACTTGTAACATTTCATTCCGACCCCATTCCTAAAGAGTGGAGGTGGAAGAAAGAAGGCAGAGAAGGAAAAGAAATCAGTAGCAGATCCAGGCAGCAGTAAAACCGCAAATAAAATCACATCCAAAGAATCTCTTGTGGTTTCACACAATATGGTAAAATTAGAGATTGCAGGAAACCAACCAAATTAAACTGGGAGCATTTGAAGAGAAACCAGCAGACGTTATGAAAATTACACGTTGACTGACCAGTATGCTTTTTATCAACAATTTCTTTGTTAAGATGAAGATCAAAGGGACCTGCATATGTTTTCATTTTGTTCTAACTAGAAAATTACATCCAGATGTTTAATAGTCATTTGGTTGGTTTTCAGCATTGATTAGATACGTTGGTTCTGTTTGCTTACAAGTGTGGCCGGATCATTAGCTAATGCAAAGAAATGTTTGCTGTGAGTTGCTAATTAGGGCTTTTGGAAACTCTCCATGCTCAAGAACAATTTGTACAGTGGCCAGAAGAACTTGAGGGACTTGGGGAAGTTGTTTTTCCTCGCCTGGCATGGTGGGCAAAGGCAGACAGCCCTATTCCCTAATCTCCCTGCCTAGGGGGATTGTGATGGATCCCTTAGGACAGGAGAACAAATAAATTAGGAAGAGACCACACAGGCACTCCTAAATACACAGATGAATGTGCTGTTTCTGGAACCACCACTAAGTTGTAAGGAGGAGAGGAACAGCAACAACATCTAAAACGCTAAACATTAACATGTGGAAGATGCTTGGCGCTAATGTTATCAAATACACAACATTTCTAAGTATGCTTTAGAGACAGATGGGAAAGCCCTTTATGATAAATGAGTGTACTTGAATTCATTACTGTAGTACTTATAATTAAAAAGGTCTCTTTTGCAATTTCAATACTTTCGCAGGATAAGACACCAAACTTGAGAAAACGGGCTAGTGAAAGGAGAGGAAAAGAATTCTGGAGACTGCGATGAGCCTGGGAGGAACTGCAGTGTTTACTTTGGCAGTCCAGCCGCTTGTTTACCTCCTTAAAGCCCCCAAACTTGTAAGAGATTAGCTATTCACTCAGTATTCAAGTAAGCCTTTTGAGAACCAGAGGTGCTACACTCTGAAGCTGGAAGCCAGTCAGTCCATCAGGCTGGTAAAGAGTCTTGTGTCTTTGGCCCTAGAACACTACAGTCAACCAGGGACAAACTTTTGTTTATCTAAGTCTGTATTTCAGGAGAAGTATCAACCCAAAGGGCATGTGTTTATAAGGAGACATTACTGTGCTGAGATAGAAATGGTATTGTACTGTGTGTTCCTTTGCATATTGCTTCCTTCTAATCCTGTTTACTTCTCATGCACTGGGGTAGCACATTCCTTCCAGTTAGGGTCGTCTGATTCATTTTTTAGGACAAGGGGAGCACATAACTCAGTTGGTAAGACATTTGCTTAGCTTGCAAGAGGCTC